GTCTTCAGTGAAAAAAAATCAGTGTAATATTAATTGAGGCAAATTAAACTCCTCTTGATCTTATTTTCTATTTTCTTTTTACTTATCTGGCTAAAAATAATTTGCTTGCTGTCTTTATTTCTCAGATGGTCTCTCAGCTAGTCTCCATCTCTGTAGACAGCACACACTATGGCAGTGCTCWTCTCATACTCTGTTTCTGCCCACTTATTTCTGAGCGATGGCTTTTCCAATTACATCTGGAACAATTTTATTCTGCCCTGAACAGGTGTACAGCTGCTAGACTTTGGATTTAAAGAAAACCCCAGCTTGCTTCACAGGGGAGGCACTGTGCTTTTCAGTCTAMTTCACTTTCCTGCTGACTTCCCTTTTGTTTATTTTTTAAACACTGTGTTCTTAGRTCATCCCCTGACCTGCTTATATGCTTTGGATTATTCTTGTAATATTTTGGACAACATCAATCACTTCCTTAGTAAAAGCTAATTTCTGTTGTTTAGCATTTTCTTCCCACTAACAACTACCACCCAAACTAAAACAGCTGGTTTTCTGGCTATTTGCTGTTTAAAAATGCAGTTATGACCTCCAGAAAATTCTGGTTCCTATCTTTATGTGAGTCATTGATTCCTGACTGGCAGGAGGCTCACTGCTGTCTCATAGAATTGCATCTGTTCCAGTAGCATCTATCAACCTGGCAGCATTTCCAGGATCTCTTATGTTTCAGAAATGGAATCTGTGGATTAAAGTGGACTTCTAGCACTACAGCAGTAAACTATGCTTGAAAATGTTTTTCCTGGATTTTTTTTTCCTTGATCAGTTCTGTATAAGTGTTGCTTACCAGGCAAGCCTGCCTCTTTGTTAATATACAATGGCTCCCCAGCACTTGACCCTGTTTCTGTTGYTCCTGAGATTCTGTTCAGTTCTTGTGCTATAGCTATTTTAGTTATTCCACTGTATTTCTTATATCTGTGTAACATTTGATTTGTAAGTGTCTTCTAGCTGCAGGAGTCCTTTGATTTTATTACTCTGTTTATTGTCCTCTCAAATATCTCTTTTTGAAACGTTTTAGATCAGAAACAGTCCTTTCATTGCCTGACCATCTATTTCTTGCTCTCAGTATCTTTGTTATTATTTGTGTTTATCCTTGTTTATCTGGTGTTTCTTTATCTGTTCTGGTGCTATAGTGAGAGTTTATAGAAGTCTAAAATTGTATTTTCAGGTGCAACCGTGCTTTCACATGAGTAGCTTCTTCTCCTGGCTTCTATATGTGACAAGAGCCTGGTGTAYTGGGAATCACAGAGTGTTTAAAGTTGGAAGGAAGCACTGGTGGGGTCATCTGGAATCTGAAATTTGTGCCAGCATGAAGTGCAGTCAGAGAATTGCTTATCCCTTTTTGGTCAGGTTTATCTTCAGCCATTGCTGCACATTGTCTACATTGTCTGCACCTAGCAGATGTCTCTTTATTTTTCTGGAACCACACTGCTGAGCAGCAGGTCTGTTTTCCTTTAATGTGTTTTGCAAACTCTAAGAACTAAAAGATAAGTTGCAATCTGGTTTTGCCAATGGTATTCTAGTTTTAACAATATAAGGAAAATATACAACCTTTTTAATTTGAAGGACTCCTGAGCACAGTGAGAAAAAGAGGATTAGATGGGGGACCCAGAAAAGTTAACCCAAAATTGATGTAGTGTTTTTCTTATCTCTTCCCTATAATAGAAATCTTACTTTCTCTCATTTGGAGAGAGAAATAAAATAATCCAGAGAATTGTAAACTGCAATTTAATAAAACCTGATGGCTTTCATATGAGAGAAGAAGTTAATGTTTCCTCTTTTCATCTAAATCCAGAGTACTGGGATATTAATATAAGAAAATGTTGTCTGTGTAACTTTGTCCATTAAATCCAGATAAGCAGCAAGTGTATTGAAGGATTTTCCTAATTTAAATGCAAAACCATTCTGTTTCACTCTTATGTGTTAGATCCATGTATATTCAGACAAAAAAAATATAATATTGAATAAACACTTGTTGAATACTAAAACAGGGAATAGCTCATATTCATGTTTAGCTTCAGGTTTATTTCAGGTTTAAGACTTACGAGATTTAAGCCATGCGCTTTTTTAAAAATCTGTATTTTAGAAATGTAGACACATCTGAAGACACATCTTTGTGTCTAACACTTAAAAAGTAATTTCATTTATTAGAAATTATTTTGTGTAGCAGTTATGCAAAATATTTAAGTAAGATTTTAATGCTTACAAGTCTGAAAATTGTAATCTTTAAGCAGGAAAAAAATATTTTATTGACGGCTTTAAGTATTTGTAGAAGTTATGAAAAATTCCTGTTCTGCATTACATTGAATACCTGACTATCCACATAGGACTTTTTATTCCGTGGAACTTTAGGTGTTGGCTGAAGACAGATGAAAAGGATATCTGAAACTTTGTTTCCTCTGTTTTGCTGATGTTTTGCTGTGCTCTGAGCTGTGGTTTTCTGCCTGTGGATGTGACTGGGTGCATGAGAATCTTTCCTTCCTACCTGTAGTGTCATCTTTAAATGAGCTAATTCCCACTGGTTGCAAAGGAGCTTTTGAATGAGGAGCCGTATTTAGAAATGCACATTCTTCTTATGCAGCATATAATTGAATATCAGCTAGATAAATTATTAATTGCAAGTCTGCCATTTATCGCTGCAGTGACTCAGCCTGCTCTATGAGTGTATTGAACATACATCTTCATAACGCTTTCCCAGACACTTTTAACTTGGCCTTGGATCAGCATGTTCCACAGCTCCTCTAAATCTGCTCATGTACAGCTGATTTACGCCAGCTCTGTCACAGTGTGAGTAAACTGGTGTTCTGATATTGTTACTGCTGTTAGCCAAAAACCCAATCAGATGAAGCATTTTTAATACCCCTTATCCCTGCCTATAAATTAGTCTAGCAGCTTGCTGCTAAAAGTGGCTGTACCCAACTTACAGCACTGCTAGAAATATTAGCAGTGCCACTGCTGCAGAAACAAAGCTACATTTAACCCACTCTGTTACAAATATTTCTGGTTAGGGTGAGGTTAGGCAAGCTGATGTTTCATTTAAATATTGTAGAGGAAGCGAAGTTCACCAAGCTGTCATATGTGAGCACAAGCAACAGAAGACCTCCTCCTGCTCCCCATCCAGCCAGTCAGGTGCTATTTGGTGTGCTGCTGCTGCTGATGCTCTCTGCAGGGATTTAGCAACACCGGGGAACCATCAGCTCCAGCCAGTGTTGTGGCTGAGAGGTGTGATGGTGGCACCTTCTCATGCCCAACTGATACAAGCRTGAAGGTCCTTCTTGCCAGGGTGCCTTCCCATACTTGGGAAATTGTGATGGATATGCAGAGCCTCTGTGCACTCCAAGAAACATGTGGGGCAAAGCCTAGAATGTGGGAAGGGCTGGGGATGGGGGAGGAGGCCCTTGAAGGAGAGAGCAGATGTTTGTGATGAGAGTGGGGATATGAGCATCCAGGTGTCATGTAAACTGCAGACATAGGTAAAAATAGCAGCAGTGTGACTGGAGTAGGTATTAGAACCACTTTGGCCACGGCATGCAGGAGCACAGCCCAAAGACACAGCCCAAAGACACAGCCCAAAGACACTGGGATTTTGCAATCTGTTCTGCACTGTGGCCCATCAAAAGAGTGCTTCCCCCAGCTCCTCTAAGTTAAAGSCAGCTGGGGCTGCTGCCCTGAGCAGCATTTAGGTGTCTAAAATACAAGGCAAACATGCAATAAAAACAGCAGTAAGAGGGAAAGCAGGATGTACCTTTGGTCAGTCAAGGCTTGAAGGGTTAGAAAAGGAACTGTTGAAATGTAATTTCCTCTGGCTGCCCTTACATGTTGACACAGCTCCTTTGGGACAGTTCATTGTGCCTGAAGCTGTGCAGCTAAAGGCTTGTCTGTCTGATAGTGGAGAACTCTATTCCCTGACAGAACCTGGGGCCAAGGAAAGAGGAAAGTGCACAGCACACAGACCCACTCACATTTGTGATATTGATCAGCTGCATACCRTCTTGAATTTGGGATGGACCCAATGTGTATGGTATGAATCCAATCACTGTTGGTGTCTATACACTTGCTTATTGTACTTGTTCTTCAGAAGATAAAATGTAATTGAGAGCATTATCTAAAGAATCTAATTAGATCTTTTTTTTCTCATAGACTGTATTATAGATATGAAAGTGTTATGTTCATGTAGCAGTTCTAGTTCGTAGCCTTTGATGTAAAATGATGTAAAATATAGCATCATTATGCCCTAAAAAAGAATAAAAATCCAACCTTATTCAATAATGAAGTATGTGAATTTCAATATTTCAGAGTAGACCACATTGTCCAGTGGAGTTAGGAATTATCCTGACCGATGGGTTTCTGTTACATACTCCTTCCTACCATAGTGAAATAGAATGAGAGTTGTACAGTTTTTGGATTTTTACAAGTGGTTTTGTTTTTCTTTTACACTTAATATTCTCAATGCTAAGAAATATTACAGAGTGACTTTTAGTAACATTATTATTATTTCTAAAACAACATCCATGAGCATCCTCAGGAAAGCATCGATGTCTGGTGCATTGCCAGTTGTGTTTAATGATTTGTTTTTGCAGCTTCATTCTGCCTGATGATTGCCAAGCAAGCTTTCAGCATTAATTATGTCTCTGACTGGGCTGTACACCATGGGCAAAACATAAACCCTTTACCTGTTAAGATAGCTATTAAGACTCAGACTTCTTAGTTTTGCAGAACTGATAAAAGTTTCCTCTAAACGTTGGTACTTTCTTTCTCAGGTGCTGAGGTTGCTGAGGTTGGTGTCCAGGCCCTATGGGGGCCAGCGTTGGACTGGAGGTGTCTGAGTGCCCCAGGGATGCTCTGCCACAGCTGAGGGTTGAACGCTAAAAGGAAGCCATCCAAGATCCTCATCTCACTTAGCTCCACTGGAGGGAGAATTCTGTTAGGGGAGGTGGACTCACTGCAAAGAGATCATGGCTTCATCCCGACTAGTGACAAGATCAAGAGACATTGCCAATGTCATGCAGCGGCTTCAAGGTAAGTGACTSACTTGTGCTGGTGCTCTCTGCCATTCCCTTTAAATGGAGGTTCCTATTCTTTGCTATACTGGACAGTCAGAACAATATTTCTGAGGTTTAGTAACTTTTCTAAACTTATCTACTGGAAAGTATTTCTCGTATATCTAAAGGGCTGTGATTATATGAGTCCCTTGGCATTGCATTAACAGWGGTGTTTAAAAGCAGTTGACATGAGCTTGTCTCCATTGGAGACTTCACTGAAGTGAAGATCATGAGATTTTGGTTGTTTCTCCCATGTTACCTGAWGAGTGCATCAGTTTCCCCATAGAAAAGAGAATAGAAATGATATCCATCCTTTTCTCAAYTACCAAGTCAACTGGTAGATCTTTTACATTGCTAAACAAGTATTTATTAATTTAGCAATGAGTACTTTATTATATGGTTAAGCACTGAAGAATTCATAACTCAATGAGTTTATTATTAGTCCTCAAGTTGATGACCTTTTAAATCACAGGATGTTTGCAGTATTCACTGAGTATTCCTTATGGTTTTATGTTCTTATAATATAGCATTGCTAAATAAATTTATTGTCTTTTTTTAGAGGTTATAACCTAACTGCTAAAAGCTTGCATTTGGAATGATTTTTGTTCAAATTATGATATTGACTAGAAACAAATTATCAGTGCTACTGTAGGTTTCAGTCCCATTAACTTTTGAACTTGACCATAAATCCCTGGCCTTTTACTTTCCTCTGCAGCCCAGTTTCCACTGACTTAAACAAAAGCTTAAATGCACAGAACCSTTGATACCCCTTTCTGCATCCTCTGGAATCTGGAAGCCTAATCTGCTTGTAGCTTTTCCTTCCATTTATTGTTTTTCAGTTCGGGATATCTGAACTCAGCTTCCCAGCCACCAGCTACAACTAGCATTAATAATTTCCATGTAGTCTCAGTAGATAAATGGAAGAGTAAATAAAGATGCAGGATCTGTCCTATTTAGACCTGCTRCAGCACTCCATCAATTCTAAAATGGTTCTACTTGATTTTCCTCAGCCTTTTGTACATTTACTATATGKTCCCATGCTATTTTTATGTCTGTTAATTCTGTGGCCACAATCTCAGACAATGGCTGTTCAAAGTGCCCACAAACATAGAGTATGGAAACATTTCATGCTCAGAGGATTTTTGGTTTAAACATTAGATTTAGACACTCCAGGCAGATTTAATGAGACTATGCAAGGGCACAGTGAGGCAGCCTTGCATACAGAACAGGCAGGGGTCTTTGGACACTGTGTGTGTGTACCACAGGATACTATGTATATGGAAGAACTCATGTCCTTAGTAGGCATTCCAGGAAAAAAAAAAAGGAGATTTGAAACAAGAAATGAAATAATTATGGAACTGTGAGACCTTCTGAGGAATATGAGGAAATGCAGGAGAGAAATGGCAGAGGTACTCAAAGGTTATGGAGACATATTGCAAAGAAAGCATCAGGGAGCTGAGCTGTGTTCAGGGAGGAGTATCCAGGCTGGTACTTGGAAGCAATATATAAAGAGGATGCTACAGGAGGTATTTACTGATGTGGGGACTAGTGATTATCAGAYTGTTATGTGCTAACTTTCTAAATGTCTGTAAAGTTTTGATGACAAAATGASTCATCTTTTCATTTGTGCTTTGGGATTTTTTACACTTTTTCTTCCTTCTTATATATTTGGCTTTGCTGAAATCTGATACATAGTTCAGTCTGCTATAATGTTTTTTGTATTATTTTATTTTTGGAAATTAATCAAAAATAATTACAGGGATTCTGAAGTTATTTTATAAGACGTGGACATAAGACATATAATAAGTGGAAATCTGGCATTGCATGTTAATTTGAAGTCATACCTGTAACTGGATTCCTTGCTTCTCAGATGAAATCAGCTCAGCTTGGTATTGATGGGATCTGAGTTTTGCTGCAGATGCACTATTTCAATAAATCACCTGTGCCAAAGCTAGAGTGCTTGGAGCCTAAATCTTTTTTTAGTCTRTAGTTCTGCATTATGGATGAGCAGGCAATCTGCACTGCGACTACCTAAGCCCTTGTGTATTAAGGTTGCTCTACCTTTCAGTAATTATAGTCAGCTGAAATAGGAGTAGATGGGCATAGGAAACAGAGATATTTCTTGGTGTGTTTGCATGGCAGCCCAGAATCAGTGCAGAGCCAGRTGTACAGTTCAAGGTGAGAGTGCAGTTGACAGCATTCCAGGTGTAACAGGAATGGAATGGTTTGGGGGTTCCTCAGCCAGTGCTGAGCAGCAGTTGTGCTTTACAACTCCTGTTTTTGTACCAGGCTGTAAGCTGAAGCAGGAGAGTTCTTCTTGTGTGATACTCTTTAGACGGTGCTGCAAGATGTCAGAGCTGGAAATTCATCAGCATTGAGAGAGAGGTAAAGCAAGCTGTGTTCCCTCCTCCACATTGTTCTCATTTTTGCCTCACGGGTTTCTAGTGAGTGTTTGTGGTGGGAGAGTGTAGGAAATTCCAGAAAAATACCACTTTTCACTGGGATTCTCAACACCAGTTTTGAAATATCTACTCTGGGTACTTCTACTAAATGCAATTATATATGCTCTCCAAACATCTGCCAGAGAGCAACAAAGTTRATTCTGTGTTGGTTGCTTTTTTGTTTGTTTGTTTGGGTTTTTAAATAAAAATACCTTTGGTAATTGTGACCCTTTCAATACACTCTGTACACATACAGACTTTTTTTAATAACATTGCATATTGCTGGCTCAGAAATCCACTYGGGACAAACAGCCATAAAGATGTGCAGTGTGCTGGGCTCTGGGTTTGTATGCAGGTGTACAGAGAGCCTGTCTCATCCCATGGGGCACAGGCAAAGGTGTGTTTCAGTATGGCTCTTTCTGCTCAGAAGAGTGAAGGATCTACTCCTTTAGGCCAGGAAGGGCACAGGAGAGAAGTGAGCACTGAGGACAAGATTTACCATCTCCAACTTAATCATCCCTGTAATAAAAGCTGAGACATAGGGCTATTCATTATAGCTCAGTCTGCACTCAAGGGAGAAAGACACGCCTCTCCAGAAGGAGTGTGATTCCTTGTCACTTGAATTTTAATTAATAAGGGTATGTCTTTTAAGAAAAAAAAATCCTTATTTCTGTATTTTAATTCTGGGAATTTTATAACATATGTAATAGGCAAAGGTTGCAGAAAAGAGTGGCCTCACCACTTTAAATGGAGAGGAGGGAGTTGGCTCTGAGGAAAGTTTAATCATAATTGGGAAGATGGGTATAAATCCTCAGAAGTCATAGGTGCCCTCTATCTCACCCCTGTTCTAGACACATGCCCTTAGCTGCAGGTAGCACCTTTCCACTGTTTCTGCTTGCTGCTTACCCCTCCCTCCGTGCTTGCACAGAGGGTGTTTGCCCTGCTTGGTGCTCATGGGCTGCCAGGTCTGTCCTGCCTGGGTCAGGCAAGTTGGGCTTTCAGGGACTGGAAAGGTGTCGTGATTGCCACCGGAGCTAAAGCAACCTGAGGCAGATGTTTCTGCAAGGTGTAATTAATTTCATTAGGGTGCCTCTGTCTCCTCATTGCAGCAGAGAGAGACAAGAGAATATAAGACAGCACCTGATTTTTTCATTGCTGAATTTAAGGATGAGGAACCCAAGTTCATGCTACTACAGTATGAACAGATGACATCCTTCCACAAAATTGCCTTTGCACAATWTATTCCTTGCTAGTTCTAGGTTTTGTACAGTGCCTTATACTTCCTAGTTTTTCTTATTSTAAAAGCATTCATAAAACCTGAGCAGAACTGGTGTACACCATCGAGTTAAATTCCTGGGATTTTCTTTTGGATTACTTTGGTAATTAAAGCCATTTGGCAGAAAAGCACTGCTCCTTAGCCTACAGGAAGTGCAAATTTCAACGGCATTATAACTGTACGCTGAAGACTCTTAAAACATTTTTGATWGCTACAAATATCAAAGCACGGAGTGTTGGAAGGCAAGTTTGTAAATCTCTTATGAATTTGCAGTCTCTGCCATCATGAAATTCAATCTTTTCAATTAGTATGCACTGTTACAGGCAAACTGCAGTCATTCTCATRCTGTTCTGAAGAAAAAAAAAACTGGAAAAAAAGAAATGTCCAGTTTGTCCCATTCCTCAAGACCTTGTGATTTCTGTATGCTGACTTGCTCTTACTGGCTTGTRAGATGATGTTGAATAGTCACTGTAGCTGATGGTAGTACATTATTACTGCAGGCTTTTCTCACTCCCACTTTTCTGTCCCTCCATGTTTTTTCCTTTCATTTTCTCATTTAGWAGTCTGTGCTGAATGAACAGTTTTCTGAGTGTAATTGTATTTGTTACTGGGTGCTCCTTTTAGTCAAACAGGACACTTTTTTCCTTTTCTGTAGTGGATCACCAAAAATTCAGTCTGCCCTACAATCTAAACATATATGCCACATAAATTAGGTTGCTGTGGTAAAACTGGCATTTTGAGACTGTTACCTATTTTAAACCCTTGCAATAAAACCACTTCTAGAGTGCACAAAGTGCAACAATTTAAACAATATAAGGTTACAAGACAATAACTGTTGTTTTGAAAAGAACCTCTACAAATTATATGGAAGCATAAAAAATACTTTTTGATCTTCCATTTGTTCTGGATTGCAYCATTATTTTTATTAGATTTGTAAACTCACTTTGGATTGTGGGTATTTTTGGGTTTTGTAAACTCACTGTAGAGACACTTCACGATGTAGGAAAAGCTAAGGTGGGAAAGCAATCAACATGATCATGCATGAAGACCTGCTGTGCTGGAGACATTGTCCAAGTGACACTTACACTCTCCTGTAAAGCTTCAATACAGGCAAGTCAGATTAGCTTCAAACCAGGCCTTATTTTATGTAAAATTACCTACAACTGGCTATCATCTGTAGTTTTATGCCTTCCTTACATTAGCACTATTTACAGAATGTCACGGGTTGGTTTTTCTTCTGGATTGTCCTTCCTTCCTTTC